TGTCACTCACTGTCACTAGATGTCACTCACTGTCACTAGATGTCACTCACTGTCACTAGATGTCACTCACTGTCACTCACTGTCACTAGGTGATCTTTTGATGGAATGCTTTTATCTTGTGGTAGACTAACACCACTATGAACTTTTTGTGATTGTTTTTATTTTTATACCATGCTAAATGGGTGTATCAGTTCTTACAAAACATACATAATTTGAACATTATTGAACCACATATCCATAGCAACATAAGAAAGCAGGTCTACATACTTGAGGAACAATAAGTCAACTAATCCTTTTGTGTGTTAGTGTATTGTAACTCTTTCTCCGTCATTATAAATGGTTTCTGTATTTAGTTGAGGTCAAGAAAAGAAATAGAAGCAGAAAAAAACATGTATTTAAAGCTTTCACAACAAAAACACCCTCACAAAGTAATTCCCTAACACTAAACTTACCTTATTGATAACTGCCATGATTTCCTCCATGAACTCCTCTTCCAGCTTGTCAAACTTGACTTGGCAGAAATCAGTCTGGAGCTGACTGAGGTCAATCTGTACACCGCTGGGCACCGTGATGAAGGAAGTCAAGTTGGTGGCTGGATCACATACAGTTATAAGTATTGCAGTCACATTGTCCGTCATCAGCAGCTGAGAAAACTACAAATGTACAGAAAAAGTGAGAACGAGTTGAAAGAGGTTAAAGGTTACAAAGCTTAACCAAACTGTAAACTATTTATCACATTCCGTTTCCTACAATCTAGTTACTTTTCCCCACAGTACTAAATCTTGTGATAGCATTAGACAACACATATATGGTTGTGGTAGGATTGATTACCAACACTTCAGACTGTCAGGGACTTTTCTAGTAAAAATCTCCAAAGTGACAATAAATCCAAAAAGTCCAAATTTATTTTATGAATGTATGCTTTATAATATATTTCACCTTTGGCGAGTTTCCAGAAAACATCAATATTTCTAGTACTCCTGGTGTCTTTAAAATGGTCCACAGCTTCAAAGTCTCTGGGTCATTGGCCAAAATTTCATCAAAACTCAAAACAGTTTCTAAAAAGTTAAAATAAAAAAGTATTATTACAATAATCTTAATTTGAAGTGCTATTCCAGAACATTTTTAGCTGATGTAAGACTGCTTTTTCTGTATATTACTTACTGTAATAGTGTACTATGACTTACTGTAATAGCATATTACTCAGTTATAGTGTATTTTTACTTAATGTAATAGTGTATTATTACTTACTGCTATAGCATATTATTTACTGTAATAGCATATTACTAAGTTATAGTGTATCTTTACTTACTGTAATCATGTTTTACTTACTGTTATAGTGTATTATTACTTACTGTAATAACAAATTACTTACTGTAATAGTGTATTATTACTTACTGTAATAACAAATTACTTACTGTAATAACAAATTACTTACTGTAATAGTGTATTATTACTTACTGTAATAACAAATTACTTACTGTAATAGTGTATTATTACTTACTGTAATAACAAATTACTTACTGTAATAACGAATTACTTACTGTAATAGTGTATTATTACTTTATTACTTTAATAGTGAATTACTTACTGTAATAGTGTATTATTACTTACTGTAAAATTGTATTATTACTTACTGTAATAGTGTATTATTACTTACTGTAATAGGGTATAACTCACTGTTAGAGGTTATGATTACTTACTGGTATAATGTATTACTTACTGTTATAATGTATTACTAACTGTTAAAGTGTATTATTACTTACTGTTATAGCATATTACTAACTGTAATAGTGTATTATTACTTACTGTAAAAGCATATTACTTACTGTAATAATGTATTACTCACTGTTATAGTGTATATTACTTACTGTAATAACATATTACTCACTGTTATAGTGTATATTACTTACTGTAAAAGCATATTACTTACTGTAATAACGTATTACTCACTGTTATAGTGTATATTACTTACTGTAATAACGTATTACTCACTGTTATAGTGTATTATTTCTTTATTACTGTAATAACATATTACTCACTGTAATAGTGTATTATTACTTTATTACTGTAATAACATATTACTCACTGTTATAGTGTATTATTACTTACTGTAATAACGTATTACTCACTGTTATAGTGTACTTACTGTTATAGCATATTACTAACTGTAATAGTGTATTATTACTTACTGTAAAAGCATATTACTTACTGTAATAACGTATTACTCACTGTTATAGTGTATTATTACTTTATTACTGTAATAACGTATTACTCACTGTTATAGTGTATAATTACTTTATTACTGTAATAACGTATTACTCACTGTTATAGTGTATATTACTTACTGTAATAACTTATTACTCACTGTAATAGTGTATTATCACTTTATTACTGTAATAACGTATTACTCACTGTTATAGTGTATATTACTTACTGTAATAACGTATTACTCACTGT